TGTAAAAATTTTTACAGATAGAAAATCTTATTTTTACAGATACAAATTTTATTTTCACAGATACAAATCTATTTTACACAGACACATTCCTATTTACAAATCCAAAAGTTACAAATCTTAATCTACAAATACAAAGTCTGATTTACAAGTACAAATTACATTAGACTAAAATTTGTGCCCATACAACTCACTTACGGACCTATTTGTCTGCGTTTCAGCGTTTTATTTACAGAAACTGTCATTTTATCATGCAGATCYGGTAGGCGGGCGCCCCCTTCTGGTGGGGACACAGATTACTTCGGGGATACCTATTAGGCACGACACATGCGCATGCGCAGAGGAGACATCTTTAGTAGCTGTATTTCCTGCTTTGGTGTTTCAACTCGAAGCGATGGCAGGAGTGAAATCTTCCTTGGTTTGTGGGGGTACGTTCTCTTTTTATTCGTGCAACGAACACTTCATTACGCGCGTTGTCGTATTTGGTGTCTAAAACAAGCACTAAAGTAGCTGCTGTTGAATTTATGGCACAGTTAGCCGGACCGACGGCTAGTTTTTAGCCGGTGATGCTGCTTCAGTCATGAGTTCTGGAGGAAAGCTGGAGGGCTGTGGTTGACACTGACATAAAACAAGCACTCTGTCTGACTGTGGGTTGTCTTTTTTTTATTATTATTACAGTTATAGCTGTTTTCTTAAGCTCCACGGCGTTTGCTTTTGTTGAAGATCTAGATGAAACGTAAGTCCTGCACTTTGGTAAAATCTCCCCAGCTTCMTGTCACTGTGTTCACATGCATGAATACTGTGGGTGCTGTTTTTCTGATGCATTGTTTCCTTTGACTATTTCCTAGTCGTTAGTGTCATAAAACCTAGCAGATGGTACTAGAGTAGTTCCCTTGTCTTCTTATGTTACCAGTTGAGTCTATAATGTAGTTACAGTATCTGTTATGTGTGCATGTTTGTGTGCTATTTTTAATATTTGTTTGCATGATTTTTAGGTGAGCTGCAGTGGTTGATCTATTAGTGTAAACCAAAACATTTATGAAACCACTATCTTGGTAGCTAAGAACACTTTATGGGCAATTCATATTTAATTTCTCAACATTCAAACATGTAAATAATGCTTTGATTCCGCACACAAATTTAATTTTGTTTTGTACACATTTGGGTGTGGCAAACAAATGTGTTGTCAGTGTTTAAAAATGACAAGTCAATATTTTAAAATAGCTAGTAATAATTACCAAAACTATAATATAATGCATTTTCTTCTTCTTCTTTTTTTTGTAGGTTTAAAGATACCAGATTGAATGAGATCTGGCTGGTTGATGTGAGTCTGATGACACACCGATACACACACACACACAAGCACAAAGTGATCGGAGTCCACTGAGCTGAGGTTTATTCTGAATCCAGCACCCCACTGTCTGGTTCATCCCTTGTGGAAACGAGAGCCGTCTGGGTGGGATGTAATAAGGGAGGGKAGGTGGAGACCGTCATCTGTGTTGGTGAAAAGTCAATGAGAAGTCATGCATGGTTCCCAAAGCCAGGGGGGCTTGGAGGGCTTTATATCAGAGTTTGTGTCTGGGCTCATCCGAGCCAAAGTTGCTTTCACAGCTAGTTTTAGACGGCAGGAGTGGCTTTTGCCCTTTGGAAGTTTTACATGGAATTTTTTTTYYCACCATTTCTCATCTAGTAGTATTGGTAGGATTTGTGTAAGTTTTTACAGCTTGGTTCCTAAAATGACATTTCGACATTAGACAAATTAATCAGCAGATAAGTGAATGTCATGAATAAAAAACAAATCCTTGAAGTTTATAGCATACATTTAACAGTTTCCATCATGTTGACGGCTGGTTGGGCGAATATTTTGAAGCAAATAGCGTTAAGAGAAACAGCTATTTTCAAGAGGAGTTGGGTAACAATAATTGTGTAATAATAAATAACTGAGCTTGAGAGCCACCAGGAAATGTAGAAATGATTGCTTTATAGGAAATAGCTTTCACTGTTTTAACAATAATGGCAGCAGTTAATTGATTTGCAGATAAACATTATTAATCACAGCTATTACTCGTTTTCATGCCAATATAAYGCTATTAACTATTAGTAAGGGCACCTAATACCAAGGGTAAACAAGCTCTATTGAATTTGCTTTATGTATGTTTTGTCAAATATCAAAACAAGTTGATGTTTTTTTTTGAAAGACTTAATTCTTGTGGTGATATATTTTTTTTCCAGTTCTAYGCTCCTTGGTGTGGTTACTGTAAAAAACTAGAGCCAATATGGCAKGAAGTGGGAGCAGAGCTGAGAAGCTCGGGGTCGCCAGTGCGCGTTGGAAAGATGGATGCCACTGCTTATTCAGGTGAGCAAGTAAATAATTCGATAGTTTAATATATTCCCTCAGAGCTYGCATGTTTTCAAGTATTAGACAAAGCTTCTTCCTTAGAGACTTTTGCAGCTGTGATGTAAAATAAGAATGTAATGATGTGTTTTCAACCACACAGTAAATATTAAAGGTCACTCCAGTTCTCAAGTAGGTCTCAGTTTTTAGCCAGAAATGGCACACTTAAAGTTTTTGTATGTTGGATATTGTAACATTACTCTGGTATTGTCAAAATGCTGCAAAACAAAGTTACCGCAGCAGATTTACAGCAGAAGTAAGAGTCTAACAAATACAAAAATCTGTATATAAGCTACATTTAAATTAAATTAAACAAATGTTCACTTGTCATGTTTTACATATATAAAAATGAGAATATAAAATATTCTTACTTTTAAAGCCAGACAACATTATGATGCTGCATGATCTGTTATGCTAATGTTTTGTTTTATTTYCCTGCGTTGCAGGAATGGCATCAGAGTTTGGCGTTCGTGGTTACCCGACAATAAAATTGTAAGTTTTGTTTTTTAGTTTTGTGTGGCTAATAGGGCTAGGTGAACTTCRCTTATTGCACTAATTTAATACTTGCTATGTAAAAGGATGGTGGGTAATGAGCTGTTTTTAAAAACTTTCTGTATCACCAAAAACACAATTTGTTGGGGGTACTTTTAATTAATTTTTAAATCAAATTTTGTTGAATAATAATAAGCAATACCTTAAGACGTATTTGAGCATTCTTTATGTTGAAGAGTTTAAAGGCCTGTAGGACCCCACTGTTGTTTTAATGGCCATTAATAATCTGCATGCATTATTTGTTTTAATTAGCAGCTATTTCTGTAAACATTTCATCTTATCGTAAGAAATAACCAATGACAAGATGCAGATAAAAAGATTTTAAGAAAGAATCACTCAAGTCAGTAGACAGCTGTGTAAAGAACCAAGAAGAATGGGCCTCATGCAGGAACATGTTTATATTCTTATCCTAAATTTCTCTTACTTTTGTTCGTACAAAGGGTTCGTACGAACATGCCACATCAGATTCAACAAA